AGAAAAATACCACATTTTTCTTACCCATTTCTTGGTCCTTAAAAGTATTTAATAGAAAACTTTCTTATTTTGTCCAAGATCCTTGGCTTATTTAAAACTTTGTCTCTTGATTTCCATAATATATATTCTAATCGAAAAGCACTTCAGATTTGTTAACACAGTGTGCAAATTATTTTTTCTTTACTTGTATGTGTTTTCATTTTGTATATTAGTGATTTTTTTATTAGAAGAGCTAGTATTTTTCTATTTTCAAATATTTCCCATATATTTGCTAATGTATTTATGAATTTACTTTTTATATTCAATTCATATTTTTAAAAAATTTCCTCATTCTTATTTAATTTTCTATATCTGATTTCTAAAAACTTTTTTTGTGGTACTGGGGATCGAACTTGGGGCCTTCATAGTGAGAAACATCCCTAGCCTCTTTTGTATTCCATATTTTGAGAGAGGGTCTCACTAAAATAATTGATAAGTTGCCTACAGTGGGCTCAAACTTAAAATCCTCCTGCCTTAGCCTACCAGAGTGCTGGGATTACAGCTATATATTACGGTGTCTGGCTTTGAAACACCTCTTTGAATTGACTGATCAACTCAACTGCTCAACTGTTTATCTTCTGCCCACTTGTTACAGGTCCCAGGGTGATGATGCGGGCCACAGAGAAGAACCTGACAGCAAAAAGCTCCTGAGCTCTATCTCAGGTTCTGGGTCAGAGGGAGACAGGGAGGGAGCCGAGCAAGGTCATCTTGGGGTTTCTGCTCCCTCCTAGTGGGTTGCCTGGAGCTCCGGGGTCCCTCCACCTGGGCCCTGTGCTAAAGCTGGTGGCCAGTTTGACACAGTTCTCTCGCTGGGCTCTAGCTAAGGGAGCAGAGGGGGAAGGTTTGATTGCTACCCTAGCTCTGCTGTTTTCCCTGAACTTCTCTGTCAATAGGTAGATTCTGCCCAAATTACCTGAACACGTCTTGTATTTCTTAAAGGGATGGGACAATGCAATAGCTAAGGGTTCTCCTCAGGAAACACTTTGAACATAGGCCATATAATCTTATTTGTAATGTTCCCATTATCAATATTTATTTAAATACCCTGCCACTATGATCTTGAGTTTCCAAGAGTTATTTAGGGAAATGTTTGAAATGCATAGGTAGCCTTTTCTTCTTGTTGTTTCTTTCTAAATTTAGGACCTTGAAAGCAGAGTTGACTCATTAATTCTATACATACGTAATTTGTGAAATTCCTTCATCATTTCTTTGTGGCCTAGTTACAGTCACTTGTTGTAAATATTCCATGAACATTGGAAAGAAGACGCATCTGTGTGTAGGGGACAGCAGGGCACACTGGGCGCTGTTTGTTCGTGGCACTGTGCAGGATAGTGGTGGCGAACCTACGGCACGTGTGCTGCAGCAGGCTGTTCGTATCACTGAAAGCTCTGAAAGGTTCACTATCACGGGTCCAGGCCTCTGACTCAGTGAAGCTCAAAGCACAGCTCTCAGTTTCTTACCTGTCCGCGGGGAAGTAAGTGCACAAATCAACCTGTAGGTATTTTAGACCTTTCTGTCCTATTTTCTGAATGTAACACAATGGTATAGTTTATGGAAGTATTGGCTCACAATGGAATGGAAATTAAACAAAACAAAACAAAACACAACTTCCTTCACTACAGCAAGTTTAAAAAACACTGTACTAAATTCTTCTTTAGATTGACTTAATTTGCCCTGGACCTTTTATTCATAAATTCTCACTACTCAGAGAACACATTAAAGTTCTTTCTCTGCTCTTCAGGCCACCTGTATCCCCTGTCCTCCACCCACCCACCCCTGACTACAAGCACACCATGACCAAAGTCTCAGGAACAGGGCCACTTGCAGGGCATGAGGACCTGGGCCCCCCTCTCCACAACAACCTTCACTGCTGGGTTTGGGGGCTCTCACAGTCCCAACACCAACCCTGGGATGAGATGTCCCATTTATTTACACTACCCCATTTGGCCCCACAGTGAGCTAAGATGTATAAAGGGTGGATGAGAAAACTGAGGCCCAGGGCTGACTTTCATCCTACCCTGTTAGATTCTGGGGAAAGTAACATGAATGGGTCAAATATGATAGTGTATTTTAATTCTCACCTAACATTTCAAAGCAGCATACATGCATAAGAAATTAAGTAAAAAGGCATGGGAGAGAGGTCACAGTCAGACACAAACTTGGTCTTTACCATTCTGCTCAGCATGAAATGCACATAGTCAGCATCTAGCATACTAATTGTCTGGGATGAACTTACCAAGTGTTTGACATACATTTTTACATCTGAATGGTATAATGCAAATTAACATCTATAGTCCATACCAAAAGCATGTCTCACTTTCCTATAATCACAGCAATGAAACGAATACTTGAGTTTAGAAGAAGCAAATTCTTCCAAAAGGTTTGCTTTTAAGAAGGACTAAATTAGCCTTTATCTAGTCACAGTTAGAGAAATTTAAGCAAAGACAAATTTCTTTCCTCCACTGATTTTTTTCGCTCTCCATAACTCTAATTAGTCCATTTTTAATAAGGGCACTGCTTTTGAAGAAACTGCCAAATTTATTCCAACATCTTTGTGCTTTTGTAAGATCATCTGTAATATTCTAAGTTCTTACTTGTCCAGAAATTAATTTGCTGTTCCAGCAATTAGTTAAGAAAAAAATTTATTTCTAGCCTTTGTAATAATCAAATTAGTAAAGTGATTTCCATTCAAGGTAACGTGAGGCTTCACCAGTAGCTGTAGACATGGTACATCAGAATAATGTGAAACCTTTAAAGTTGAAGGCCATTGTGTAAAAATTCCCACGTCTGTCTCCATGGTGAGTTATGTGGCAGTACTTGTGATCTGAGCACTCCGATTTGCACGTTCTGTGCAGCTTGTTATGGGGTACTTGCTCCACAAATGCTTCTTATGTGGAACCTTTTTTATGTGCCTGATGCAGAGTGATTTTTTTTGGATTGCTTTTCACAACCCTTCAGAGCTGGCTGTATTTCCTGCCTCTTTTTTTTTTTTTTATTTTAAAGAGAAAAGCACAAAAACTAATTAACAAAAACAAAGACATAAACAAAACAAGAAAAAAACAATAAAAACAATACAGAATTTCAAAAAGGTGATAGGAAATTAACAGTGGTTGTTGTATTACATACAGTTATCTTCAAATTGGTTACTCAGATAACCAGTCCCTTTTAATCTTGTGGGATGGGATATAAAGTCTGAATTCAGAAAATGAGTCTTTTGTATATATCTAGAATTAAACTTTTGCATCCTTTGATACAGGAATTGCATTTCTGTTTGTTTCTCTGTTTTTTGAAACAGGACCTTGCCCAGGCTGGCCTCAACCCCCAGGCTGTAACCCCCAGGCTGCTGGGGTTACAGGTGTATGCCTTCACACCTGGCATAGAAATTCCATTTCTGTGAATGTGTACAAAGAAATATATCCTAGATCTGGAGCAGAGTATGATATGTAAATGTGATTGTAGTAGCATTATTTAAAATAAAAAAAATTAAATGCTCTAAATGTCTAAAAGAGTAACAGTCAAGAAATCTTGAAAGTTTTAAATGTTCAGAAACAGCAAGGTGGTTGAGAAAGTGCGAATATTAAAAATTGTTTGTAAGACCATACAAATATTTTATAAGACAAAATAATTGTATGTGCAATGCCTTTACACCTATATTTAAAAACTCCTATATATAATAAATGTACAAAGAAAATACTAAAAAAATTAGTGCTCTTATCTTACAGGTAGTGAAACTATTTTTTCTTTATTTTTTAGAACTTTGCATATTTTCTTTAATGAGCACATATTACTTTTTTCTTCAATTTTGTTTGTTTGTTTGTTTGTTTTCCAGTACTGGGAAGCGAACTCATGACCTTGTGCTTGCCAGGCAGGCACTGTGCTGCTGAGCTAAATCCCCAGCTCTGAGCACATATTACTTTTATCACAGCTCCTCAATACATTTTATATCAACTAGTTGTACATCTCAACCTCAATGAGACACAAAATCCCTCATCTGTCACATATGAATATTTTGATCTGAAATAATAAACTTATACATGCTTCTAGGTAATATATGAAACATTTATCATATGTTTATTTTAGGCTAAGAATAGTTTCCTTTCAGTTTTTCAGGGATGGATATGGACTACTGCGAGACATGATTTTATGTCCAAGTTTTAAAAGCATATTAGGATCTGTAAGAGACTCAGCATCTCAGCTTAGCCAGCAGCAAAAATGAGGGGCTGCCGTGAAGCCCAAGGTCAGGGTGGCAGGAAGGGAGAAGGGTGGATCTCCTGGGGGTGTCTGTAGCTCCTGAGGGACCTGTATGTATCACGCATCAAAAACTACAAGTCTATTTCTATATTTTCTGATTTGGAGAATATTTCATCTTATTTACCAGTAGTGACTGGTACACAAGTAAGATGCAGGCTGGGGATGTATGCAGTGGTAGAGCACTTGATTAGCGTGAGTGAGGCCCTGGAAAGAAAGAGAGAGAGAGAGAGAGAGAGAGAGAGAGAGAGAGAGAGAGAGAGAGAGAGA